AATCCATCGACGATGGTTGACCCATAAGTCGCGTGTAGATGCGTGTAAACGCGTTCGTGCAGGCATTATGCAACCTACAACCGTGGAAATCGAAAATCTCCATCTCGCCCGGGAGGTCGGGCCCGACTCGGCTCGGACCGATTGGAATTTCTCATTCCCGAAGTTCCGTGGATTCCTAGACGACGAACGCGTAGTCGAGATGAGCGTATTCTATCGGAATCGAGGTACGATTCGAGAAAAATGCGAACGCGAGCAAAGGGACGCCAAGGGACGCGACGCTTCGCAGCGAGATTACAGGCTTTGCGGTTCGGCGTCTCCGGGAACCAAAGGGGACAGAGGGAACTGACGTGTAATTTGCAGAAAATTAGTTCCTTTGAGCGGCACGACGGTAAACATCGGAGCCACCTCGCCCCTTGACCCAGATTCTCGCGTCACTGTCAAGTTCTCGTACGATTATAACGCAGCAGTTAACAGCTCGACCACGCGGAAATCGCACCGCGTTCATCCTCCGTCTCGAGGCTTCGAAGCAGGGATGCACGCACGCGTTTGACAAAACTCCGGTGGTAGCTGCGAAACGAACGACTCGGGAGTAGACGTAACGGGCGCGAGCGAGATGGACACACGGCGATCGAGGGAATTTCAGTTTCAATCGTTCTCCGCTTACCTTTAGAAATGCAACATCCTTGAGATTCTTTCGATAAAAATCACTCGTCTCCATCTGATTTTAATGGGATGAATTTGGACGATCCAGTGGTCCGACGTTGGTCAGAGTAAAGTGAAAATGATTGAAAATCAAATTCCCCTTGCCCTCTGCCCCCGAGTTCGAGCGGTGGGAGAAGGGTGGGGACGAGTCGTGGAAATTGAACGGTACGGATTTCAGTGAAAACCGTGCATCGCTGTACACGTATTTCGTAACGAGGATATTTTTGTCAATCCCAAGGATAAATAACGTTGCGTTTCGCGTCGAGGTCCTTCGCTGTCGCGACAAGAGGATCGCGGAAGACCTCGAACGGTAGTAAACGCGACGGCGCTCACCGCTGCAGCGAAAATCATGTGCACCGTTAGTGCCCGATCGAGGAAACGGTCCCTAACCGGATCTTAACGAGTGGCAGAAACTTGGTCCCATCGACAGGAACCGGCTCGTTTGCGCGATACATAAAGATATTCGCGAGATCGCATCTCATCGCATCGCATCGCTGCGTCGCGTTAACGAGCCCCAGTCTGCTCGACGATCTAAACACGCTCCTCTGCAATTAGCCCTTTCGAACTATTTTCGTTTGTTTGCTTTGCGAAACTTTCGAGAGGCTTCCGTGTCCCGTTCGTCCTCGTAGAGGAGCGAAGCGCCCGTTCGAGAAATCGTCGTCGCGAAACGCGAAGCGAAACGACGGACGATGTGGTAGGCACGAAGAATGTAATGCAATTTCCGCGTGTTTTCCGTGACCGTGTCCAATCGTGCGGAGAAATATAATTCGTGTCAGTAGCCTACCGCGCGAGTACGCTACCGCGAGCTATTCCTCGGTAGGGGTAGAACGGCGGGCGTTTCGTATCGATCGGTTAGAAATAGCGTTACAGGTCAGCACGCAACTTTTCGCGTTAACCGGTATCGAGCGTTCTTTGAAATTTCAGCGGCAGGTATCGCGCCATCGATTCGTACGGCTCCTTTTCTATTCTTCTTCTCCGCTTGTCTTTTTCCTTCTCCTCTTTTCCCTGTTTTCCAAGTTGATTCGCGCGCCGTCGAGCGCGCCGAGAGCGTTGCAAAGTAGCGGAGGAAAGGAGGCGAGGAGAAAGGAGAAGCGAACGGGTCGGCCGGTTACCGAGAACGCGAAACCGGCCTGGCATAGGATGCGCGATAAGTGTCGAGTTACGATAAACTGCTCGGAAACAATGGAGCTCGCCGGGGTAACGTGCCCCAAAGTACACAGCCAGGTTCGACTATCCGGTTACCGTTGTAACGCTATCGTACCGTACGTGCGAACTCTAGCTCCGCGGCGACATCGCAGAGGCGACCGAGCACGGAACCGTGGAACCGTGGAACCGCGGGGAACAACGGAAGCGAGGCGAAGCCTTCCGTCGTCTAGCCGTGCGATCGCAGTTCGGTTTCAGCCTGTAATAGGTTTGCTCGTTCCGCGTCACTCGTACGACGTTTATCGACGTTGGTGCATGTAGCCTGTGCGCGACACACGCGATGTATTCGATAAGCGACAAGACGAGGACGAGAACGAGGACGAGGACCACAACGAGGACGAGAACCGGGGCGTGGGCGTGGGCGTGGCGGGTACCGGCCGCGCTACTCGAACAATCGCTTCGAGAAAACCAGGCGAAAGGACAAAGGAAGTAGAAATTGCCCGTTGCAGCGCGCGTACCGTCAACGATGCTTCGAAAATCCGATGCGAGAGTATTCTCTTCCTTTTTAGATCAACCTTATCCGCCGCTTTCCGAATATTCCTCTCATTCGCAGGGTTCGAACACGACCGCTTCCTATTTATTTGCCGGTCGGCACGAATATCGAAACGGTAAACGCAACGCTCGTAACCGCGGTGAAGCTTTCTTTGCGACGGCTGCTTTCCAGCCGAACCCGAGCAATTTCATTTACACGTGCAATCACGATCCGGATCTATCTAGCGTTGCGCATCCGATCGTCGGGTAGACCAGTTCGATGTTCGTTACGCAGACGGTAATAGATCGGTGACGTCGCTGGACATGGAACGAACCCCGACCGAGAAAGTTCGCGACGAATAGAAATGCGATTAAAATAGATGAGAGCCGGGCGTACAGGATCCGTTGAAAAGCGTAGCGTCGCGTCCCATGAAACCGGAAAGCAACGACGCGTGCGGCGCGAATGCACCGCCGCGCGATAGAGGATCGTGGAAACCGTGGCACGAATTCAAAGCGTATACGTATCGCGAAGTGCGCCGCACGACGTACGACACGCGACACGCGACGCGTTGTATACGGGTAAATGGATTGCTCGCAACGCTGCGCGTCGCCCTATTTCATCCTCCGTCGATTCAAATAACGCGATTTTACCGCCTCGCATCCGCGAGAAACGTTCCGCCCTTCGGCCAGCCTTCTCACGTTTGTCTCGCGTAAACGCTTCACCGTTGGTTTTCGGCGGATTTTGTGAAACGGTTCCATCGGTTATCCGAGTAAAATGCGCCTCTACGAGGCGGCATCGAAGAGGCGAAGCGCGAGGCAGAGCGCAAGGGAGAGTAGAAAGGACCGCATACCTGTGGAGCAGGTGTTCCATCCAAGACCGGCTTTTCGTTCTCTTTCCCCTTGCGTGTATACCACTAACGCGACTCGCTTGCAACGCCTTCGACCAAGGTACTCTCGTGTAGTACACACGTATGCTAGGTACACCGGTATAGCATTGTTTATAGCTCGCTCGCTTTTTTCCCCCTTTCCCGCATCCTCGCTTCCTCGTCGGTAAATTAGCTCGCCGTGAAACGTGCGCGTGGAAATTTCGAACGAGCGGTTCCTCTACCGAAAAGATCCACGGCGGCGAGGGGTACGCTCGGCCGACGATCCTCGGAGAAGCTGGAGCGCGGCGTGCAATGTTTTCGAGCACCGCGTCGCGGCTTCCTTCGAGTTTCAACGATAAATTTATCCGAAAGGGAACCCTCGCGGTACCTCTCTCCGTTACTCTCGGTTCGACGAGGGTGAACGAAACGACAAAAATAACCCCGAAGGTTGCTTCTCTCCGCCAATCCAACGAATGCGTAATTACGGAACGCTGCATCCGGCTTTCGAGGAACAACGCGAGGACAATGAACGCTTTTTTCCATCCGTTTCCCCCTTTTGCCCCTTTTCCCGAAACATCGTAAATCCAGCACGAGTGTTCGGTTTCAACGACCGGCCGGGAGGGAACGGTACTCGTGGGGAATGGAAATATCGGGACACGGCGAGCAGCCGATTCACGCGCTACCGGCGAGATAGCGAGGAATAGGGAGCACCCGCGGGCCGAAATCGCGTCGGTCGTTGCTCGCGAACCGTTACCCATCGAATCGGCATTCCGCTCGACCAGTTCGCTAGGAAATTCGGCAAATTCGGTGTCGCTGGATCTAGAAAACCGTGAACCTCCGATCGGTGGGCTACGCGGCTGTCGAGTGAACGCCGATACGATGGGTTTCGCGAACAGCGAGTACGGTGAAACGCGGGGCACGTGCCACTAGCACAGCACCAACAATTATTACGCAACACGGTGACGATGAATGAACCGGGAGAAGTCGACGATAGGTCGACTTTCACGGGAACGTGCCAAGCCAATTACCGGTCGGTCTTGGATCGGGGTTTGCACGAATGCACGCGTATCGCCGCTCCGTTCGTCGACGCGTGGAAGCGACTCGGTTAGAAGCACGCGAGTCCATTGTTCGGGAAACACCCGGCAAAGGTTAAGCGACGACTCGCACGCGTGTACGAGAGCCCTTGGAAGGCTCGCTCGCTTCCGCGTTTCGCAGTTGGATTAACCGATTTACCTTGGAGTGTTCGGTAAACGATTCGCACGCGCGAACGACGCTCGCCGGAGCTGCAACCTGGGTTGCGGGAGGGAACGCGAATCCTTCGGCTCTTCCATTTCCCGATATTTCCCAGACTTTCCCGATTTCGCCGAGCTGCGATAGGAACAACCGCGCACGATATTTGCAGGTTCCTCTCGTCGCTACGCATCGTCATTGGTATCGACCCGCTGGAGAAACGCGTTGCCTCCCGCGATATCTGCTACGTTCGAGGCTCGAGGGTGTTCGTGCCCGTAACGGTAACGAGACCGCTCGCTGGAAAAATCTTCTCGTCGGAGCACCGATCATCGATCGTCCCGGAGAGCCGCTGTTCAAAGTCGTACCCGTCCATTGATCCGCTTAAAAATGGAGAAGCGGCCCCGTTTCCGCGATAGCGGCGACCACGAGAGCCGCGTTCGTTTCCGGAGTCGGGTCGATCGAACCACCGGTCGATTCGAAACGCGAGTATCGACCGGCTTTTCGATTACGCGATGCTAGAGCTCTCACCTTTGTGTTCCGGGCTCGGGTGAAACGAGGTTCCTCGGGAATTCCAATGATCTGGGGGGGTCCTCGGGAAAAGTCCTTTTCGATTCGGGAAATCAGCCCGCACTCGGCATTATTCTCGCCTGCCGTTCGATGCTCCTTCCTCTTCGATGAACCGACGAACCGTCAGGACGAACCGACGAGACGGTGAAACGTGTCGCGTCGCGTCGCGTCTGCCCGAGAGAACCGCGTGTGTCGCACGCGTGTTTACGTCGGCCGAATACGCGTAACTCGCGATCGCGCGGCGACACCACCACCGTTCGGTAAGCACTGTACTAATCTTCCGCGTCTCCTCTTGGCAATGATTCCTCGTTGCTCCGCGTGGCAATTTCTCATGTCCGTTCTCTCCGGCGAGCGGCCGGCCGGGAGGCGAATCGCCGCGACGCCGCGCGAGTCCTGTACGCTTTCGATCGAGACTCGCGGAAACACCACGGGGACGAGCATTCGCGAATCGTTTCGAGATAGCTGGCGACGCGTCGGGAAAACCAGGGTGCCTGCTCGGGGAACTGCTCGAGGCACGGATCCGTGAGTCGTGAGTCGTGAGTCGCGAATCGCGAGAACCGGAAATCGGACGAGCGCAACCACGGCTAAGGCCGCAACGCGACACGGTGCGGTGTTGCGGTGAACGTCCACGCTCGCTCTGAAGAGCCCGGCGGCTCGAGCTCGGTAACGCGCACCCGCGCACTCGCGTCTCCCATTGGCCACGAGCCGGTCGCCGGCCACGAGCCGCCAGCCGCCGGCCACCGACCGTCCACCATTGCGCACCTTCCCCACAGCAGGGGTTCTCCTCGCGCCCTGGCAACCATCCCTTCAACTATTTTATCGACGTTCTTTCTCTTCTTTCTCTCCTTTCTCTGCTTTCTCTGGTCGTCCACTGCTCCATTCGTTTAGTTCTCGAATAACAGGTACGTTTACTCGGTTACCGATCGATTTCCCCTGAATACGTTTCACGGGGAAACGAGCGAACCGAAACTCTCGGAGATCATGTAAACCGAGTAACTGCCTTTAATCGGGGACTCCCGTAATTGCTTCTCCGATTCTCTCCGTTTCTTCGGCTCCTCTATTTTTCGATCCCGATAAGCGTTCCTTGGTACGCGACGTCGAGCAGATGTCGCGAGACGTTCGCGAATTCGAAGGGTACGCGCGTGAAAGCGAGAAGTAGCGTAGTTTCGTGAACAAACTCCTATCGTTCGAGCATGCGGCCAAACATCGTTTCGCTTCAACTTTTTCAATTTACGAGTTCCGCCGTTCGAGAGGGCCTAACGAATATACAGAGCCCTCGGCTCTCTTCCTACGAATAGACCAATAGAAGCGTTGCCAGTTTGATCGTAACGCGCGGCGCATGCACGCCTTCCATCGCAACGTCCCGGTAACCAGCCTCTTTCGTACCATAAAGAGGAACGACCTAACCTGGAAACCTAAAACTACTACTTTTTACCGCGATTCGATTAGGTGCTCTCGTTTACTTTATCGTTTCGATCGTTTCGGTGTTTGCGCCGGTTGCGCTCGTCGGGCCCGTTGGGCTCCGAAATCGGAATGATCGGACCGAACGAGCAACACGCGTACACGTAGTACTTGCCGAACATCGAGAGAGCTGGAGAGGAGCCAGAGCGGATTTTAAAGCCTAGAATATTTCTTCCTATTATTACTATGATTTCCTATAGAATCGACATAGTTGCCATAGAGTCGACGTCGCATTTGATCCCCGGTGGGAGACACGGTTCACGGCCGGCGTCCCTCTAGAGCGAACAAGCTGCCAAATCGGACGGGCCGAGCGGTCGGCGATTGAAAAATCTGCCAGCAGTTTTTAGTTACTTCTCGCACAAGCTCGAGGGACGAAAAGGAAGGAGCGACCGGTCAGCGGACGACTCGTGCAACTAGTCGGCAGATGGCACGCGTCGGGGCCCTAGCGGCTTGGCCAGACCCTTCGGGTGCCTCGAGACCTCGAGAGGACTCGAGAGGGACCCTCGAGGTCAGTCCTTTTTTCTTCGCTTACCGTGCGACCGTTCGCAGACTGAACCCTGAAAGAGGCAACGCGCGTCTTTACGGGCGCGCATCGATACGTTACACGTACGTACACATCGATGGCGGTTCCAGCCACGAGATTCGCGGCGATACACGAGTACCTACTTATACTCCTAGAATTCCCATCGATGGTAAGTGGCAAGCGAGGAGATCAACGATAAGAAAATCGTGGCTCGCCAGTCCGACGATCGATTCCCGAATTCTTAGAGGAAACACGTCGGATCGAATACGCTGAAATTCCGAAATGTTTCGCAGAGAACCGCAAAGAAAATCGAATCCGGACGGTCCGAACTCTCTCCGATCGCCACTCTCCGTTCTCCTTCGTTCATACCGCTTCGAAGAGCAGGTGCGCCATGCATCACGGAAAACCAGTCTTTTTCTTATTGATCTTGCTTCTGCTCTTTGGACCGCCAGCAATCCCACCTGCCGATCACGTGGCTTCCTCGAAATTCACGAGCGAAGTACGATTTATTTCACGATCTAGCACGATTACCGTCGCGCGAACCATTTCGCCTGACTCTCTCGAATGGTTCTTTCTATAGGCGATCCATCGTTCAAGATGACTCCACGCGTTACGCGTGCTCGTTGGGTCCTCCCTCGATAACGCGCGACACTCGATATCTCGCAGCAACGGTCACACGGTCGCCAGAGACAAGAACAGAGCGAACCCCCGTAATTTTTTCCCGTGCCCCCGTAGCTCCTAATCTGCGCGCGTTCCGTAGCAATTTGTAATCCAATACCGTCCACCGAGCGAGTACCCCGAAGCTGCGAGTACACGCCTCGATCACCGATACCGAAGCTTTTCGCAAGGTGTGGACGATCGATGACCACCTGCTGCCGGTGTTGTTTGCCGGCTGATGACAATTTGCTCGAGATCGGTGAAAGCAAACGCATCGGTCCACACTCGTCGACCGGTCGATGGTACGGCCGAGAAACATTCGAAGAAACGCCATCCACCCGAGACACGTCGATTCAACGAAAAGTCCTTCGTAAATCAAACAGATCGGAATCGAGCGAGTATCGTCGAGCAACCGCCGCTGCGGGCTGTCCAAACCTTTCCCCTCGCGGTTCACCAGGGAAATGGAGGACTCGAAGGGTGTCGACTCGCGTCGATAAAATGCCGATTAGCTGGCAAGCGGAAAAGAAGAGAAGACCGAGGCATGAATCGAGCTAATCCGACAGCGCGGATGCACGCGACGCGTTCGCGATTCTTCGCGCCATGAAAATTCGACTCCGCTTCGAACCTCGAAACGCTAAGACAATGAAACGCGTCCCGCTTCTACTTTGTACACGCATCGAGCTGGAAGCGATCAAAGGGAGGAGAGAACTCCGATGATTACCGGCGATTCGCGTCGCCGATGTACAAAGAGTCTCTCTTCCTTTTATTCGCTTCTCATTCGTTGACGCATACACGGCTCCTGATGTTTCCCTTTACTTTCTATTCGGTGACGCGGTCGATTCCCGTAAGCGTTCTCGTTCCGAGGGAAAAACACAACCGATTAAAACTGCAAATGCATCGAGTCCAAGTATATTCTCCCAAAAATATAGTGTTGCCACTCTTACATTTCCTCCGCCGAGCTTCTCGATATTTTCGAAGTACAGACTCGAAAGTATCGATTGACCTTCCAAATTGAAATGCTAGCTGCGACGTATTTATTTCGTCGGCCGGAAGAACCCGCGCATAGAACCGCTGGTACAACGGAGCGACCTGTTCGATCGAAAGTATCGATCGACCTTCCAAATTGAAATCTACCTGCGACACGTTTATTTTGTCGGCCGGAAGGAAAAGCCGCGCACAGAATTGCTGGGACGACGGGTCGACTTGTACGATCGAGAATATCATTATCGGAACTATCCGATCAAAAATCCTCCTCGTCGTCCGTGTATTCGTATTCCTCTACGATCCTCGTGATCTCGGTGTCGTGCTCTTGTACTTCGTCTTCCGACAAATGCGATTCACCTTCCATAAACTTGGCGAACCTAAAAAAACGCGAATTTCAATGGAAATATTTGCGGTGCCGGTCGATCGTTTAGTGCCGTTCATTTCTTCTCGCATAATAACCTTACGGGATCCTTCAACCTTAGAACGGTCTTCCAAGTGTTACATTCTGGACTAGAGCAGTATTCTTTGAGCTCGATCAACGCTTTGTTCGTTTCTCTCGCACCTTCTTTGCGGTACTGATCTTCCGTTAATAATTTTTTCCTTTCAGGAAACATATTCTTCCTGATTGCAAACACAACCATACATGTAACATGCACCTACTCTAATTGCTACGATCGTCGGTATCCATATTATCGCGATACTATCGCGTAATATTATATCGTTGTACAATAGCAATCGCAACACCGCTACTATTACTACTACTACTACTGCTACTGCTAGCACGACTATCGCTACTCCTTGAAACCACGAACTTGACACGAACAGAGACGCGTTTCCCGCGCTTTCCAATCAAACGAACAGAGCCTAGAGCTACGCGGCGCGTAAGCGAGTACTTCCGCTCTACTCGCGCTGGCATTCGCGATCGAAAAAGATATTGCATCCAAGATAAGTATAATGGTAATTTATTCGATAGAGCAAAGATACAAAATGCAATCGGGTAGAATCCGTAAGAACAAACGTTACAGATTTGACATTTCGATACAATTATTGGGAATGAAGCGAAGTCGAGTTTGTAGAACCGAGCGATCGGAAGACCGGCGGAAAAAAGTTGGCGAGTCGCTATGCTCGGAGAACATTCCCAACGACGCTAGAGCCGCGGCATTTGATCAGACTTACCAGTAACTCCTTCCTCTGCGGATTACACCCACGGGGAAATGATAAAGAAGAACATTTAGCACGCAACAGAAAAAGGATGCTTCACGGAAATAACTGCTGTAATAGATTGCTATCAACCCTCCTATCTAAATAAACAGAACGGGTGACAGATTAAATAAAACTTGGGGGATTTGTATCGTCGCCGAGATAACTGTAAATGGAACTGTAACTGTGTAGTCGGTAGAATGAAAACTGTAATTATAACTGTACAGACCTGCAAAAACCATTCGATAAGCTTTTTCGTTTTCGTATTTGTAACTGGACCGAAACGATAGCAAATTACGAGGCTGATCAGAGAGGTAGCCAAGATGTACCAAGTCAGCCACTCTCGGTACTGTACCATAATCAATTGCCCGTTATCCCATAACGCCTGAATTAAGTACAAGCTCATAGTCCAGCCAGTGGCAACCATCACGTACATCATTTTGCCCTTTGAATGCATAATAATATCATATGTATCGATTAACGCCGCAAACGACGATCTTCGAGCGAGGGGAGGGAAAAGAAGAAAGAGGAGAAGGAAAGCAGCCGACGTACCTTTGGCAATAGTTTGCTAATGACATAGACTAATATTATAATTGACGTTGTAATTCCAAGCACGACGCCGCACAAGTAGTAAAATAAAGGGTTTCCGCTTAATTTTCGTGCAACCCAGAACGTTATGGCGCCCAGCACCATCAACGATAATTTCGAGCTATCGACACCTATGGACGCCAAACAGGAGCAAAACTGATTTCCATTTCTCATGAATCGTTGTATTATTTTCCACCGCAGAGCAGTCGAGACTCACGTGTTTGCGTCAAGCTTATCATATACTTGTGCGAATTCGAAGGTTGCACGTATACGCCGATACATACATCCTCGAACGGATTTATTTTAAATTTATTACTTCTCTTCGTGCCAAACAGATTAAACCGCCAAGATCGCTGATTGTCCTCGTGCTTCTCTATCACCTGTGCCGGACTTGTACCATCGTAAAGATCGTAATTATCTAGATTCGTGCTCAAGTGCATCTATAATGATATAGTAGAATCCTATGAATACACGATACACGATATCTTCGCGGTCGTCTGACGGTTATTTCGAGTTTTGCTTACTGTTAAACTCCTCCACAGATTTATCAAATATTTCGTATTCGCGTTATGGCAAAATATCTGTAAGCCTGGTTTGTCGTTTTCGAAAACATCCTCCACGCTTAGGAAGTGTACTGAAAATTCGATCGAAACAACATTAAACGCGCCTGTTCAAACCCGAATCTTTCGTACAGTACTTTGAATTTCACCTATTTCAACGTCCCTCTAGCTACGCGTATCAATTCGTTGCAGTCTACTTAATGTTTACAATTTTCGTTTAGAAATCGTGCTCCTCTGTGTCGCGTAGGTACACGTCGAAGTAGGTACCCTACATACCTACATCCTCGTACCTAATCATTGCCAAAACAAACTGGCTGCAAGTATGCGCATACTTGTCCTATGCATGTGCACGCGATACGAAATTTAATACCGACCGACAATCTTACGGAAGAGCACGTTACGACACGTATCATTCCTCTGTGCGAATAGCATTCTCTTCTCGAAAATTAGCTAGTTTTCAACAAATTTGTCCACCGGCGAATTTACGTATTTTAATGGAAAATATAGGTTAGAACGACTTACTTGAATCCTCGGTTGGTGCGGATTCCGTGTAAAGGAAATTACAGAGAAGTAAAATTGTAGTTGCAATTAACGGATAAACTAATGTTCGACACATGTTATTAATCCTACAATGTATCAACCACTCTAGACATCAACTCGATCACCGCGAACGCACATTACAACCGTAACATCGTGAATTTGCCGTTTAGCCGTTTGAAATTCGAGTGTCGATATATTCGTATAGGTGTGTGTACCGTATGCTATATCGAACGTCATAGCGATTAATCTCGTTACACGTAGCGTCATCTACGTTAGAACACGCGGTAGGACAGATTCGGTTTAGAAGAAATTCAGTGCCAGTCGAAATACAATGGACAGTTGTAAACAGTAATTCGTATTTACCGGTGGCAGTGTAGCGACATATTTGTCTTCTCTATAAAGTTTCATAGAATTTTAACGAAACGATTATCCGAAGCTGTACGGTGACGCCATCTGCAACACCTTCGAAACTCGAGAACGTTACAAACTTCACGTAAAACCAAACCGAAAAGTAGCGGGAGACTTGTTTGTAGTTTCGAAAACAACTCGTTTCCTTGCAGACAGCAGACACGAGTAAAGGACAAAGAAATCGTCCGAGATATTCGTCCAACTGATCGATGAGTGAATTCATCACGGTGCAAGGTACGTTTCGTTCATCCTGTTGCGCTTACCGTAATCTTAGCACGCGAAACTGCGCGTGACGATTTCTTGCCGAATCGATCGAAAAGTCGAATCAATTTTATTTAACCGTCATTTAAACAAAGTATTTAATCGACTGTAGTTGGACAATGTGGAAACCAAATTGGTTCTGCATTTTGGCCTCTGGTTTTACACGAATATGGTGTGCAGTCTGCAAGTACTGGCACAAATTTTCTCAAGATCCAACGTAATTATGGTAAAAAGGCGGATGATCTGTTGGACGCGATTCATAGTTTCTTCGTTGTACCCGATAATCTGTACAATTTCTGCTTCAAGAGTATGGCCGACCTAAAAAAGGCTAAAGTTAAAGCCCGGGTAATGAAGTTTACCTTAATACGACTGAACAGTTATTTGCAATGAACGCATCCATAAACTTGTTATCGTATCGTCTAGGCGGTATTGATAGATATGGAAGACAATGTGATAGCAGGATTAAAAAGAGGCCCTTTGGGTCACTTGTACGAACAGGCTTGCACGATAACAAACTATCCAGGATCCGCGAACAATTGGTAAGTCTGTTTGGATTTTTCATATGCAAACATCCGTGTAATGGAACATTATAAAATGATTTTTAAGGGCTATCGGGTATCACGATCATGGTACAAAATACCATGATAACGTGGAGAACGCTGTCAGGCGTGCGGTAGAGAAATGTTCTAGTCTGCACGGTTTCTTGTGCGTGCATTCGCTAGGAGGTGGTACCGGTTCTGGATTAGGAACGGCCACTTTGAAATTATTAGCCGATTACTATCCCAATGTAGACAGGTGCTTCTATATTACATTAACTTTGGGTAGAGTAACATCTTTTCCAATCAGTTTCACGACGCATCGTGTTCGCGTTAATAACGGTTAAATGTCGCCAGGTTGGTATCTTGCGTATATCCAATGTTAACGCAAGACGTCGTTACCGCTCCGTACAATGCTCTACTGGCGACGCGAGAACTCTTGGAGCATGCAACATGCGTATTTCCAGTCGACAACGCGTCTCTAATGGACATATGCGCGTTGCAAATGAAGAAAAAAGAGAACGCGGATCAGATAAATTATAATGTTTCCTGCAGGCCGTTCCAAGATATGAACAGTATCGTCGTGAATATGCTTCTTCATCTAACTAGGTAATATTTGTATAAGAATGGCGTCGAAAGTATTCTTTGGATAGCGGAATAAGCATCGAAGCATCGCAAAAGTAAAAATAATGTGTTCAGCGGGTCTAGATTCCCTGGTAATTTAAACATGGATATGAACGAAATAGCAACGAATCTTGTTCCATACCCCAGGTTACATTATATATATAGCAGCGTTAGTCCGATAGATTTAACCGCATCGATAACGTACACGGCGCAAGAAGCAAAGTATGTATCGATTTTCGATCGCGGAGAGTACGAGAGACGACAAACGGCTAAAGTTATTATTGTTGTTTAAGGTTGCAAGACGAACTGTTCAGCAACGCGTGGTCCAGAAACAATCGTTTGATTAAAGTAGACCCATTGCAGCCGAACGGCGTAATTCTAAGCAGTGCGCACATCGCAAGGGGGAATTGTTCTATGACAGATCTAAAGCGGAACATCGAAAGGTACAGAACGTGAAAAAAGCAAACGAGCGATGGCTTTCCTTCCTTCCGTGCAATAAGCAATGTTGCAAGAGTAATATTTACGTGCGCAGATTTCGAGGGAAGATGAAGTTTACGATATGGAGCGAAGAAGCTGCGAAAGTAGGGTTGTGCTCCGTACCACCGGCCGGACATTCGGCTTCAGTTTTGTGTCTGTTAAATTGTTCCGCGATGTCAGGACTGTTTCGGAATGTTCTAGAAGAATTTAGCAGATTGTACAGGAGGAAGGTAAAAGATATACGATATATTCGAATATTTTATTGACATACTCTAAGGGTGTAATCGGTGAATCGTATTACAGGCACATGTCCATCACTATACGCAAGTTGAGGGTTTCGATGAAGCAGATTTTCGGAATGGCACAGAGTCGATTAGAGACTCGATCGCACAGTACAGGGAGTTGGAGAATCCGAAGCGAACAGATGTCCCTAGACTACAGGTAATTTAACAACGCGTTATCGCGACGTAACGAAACATTGAAAAATACGGATTTATTGGGCTCATTTGATTTATACAGTTGAGAGGCAGAAATATTTGAATAAACGTAATAGCTTGGCTACCAACGATAACAGAATTATATTAATTCTCGAGGACACAGATCGCTGCGTAAATTTGTACCGGTAACTTTGAATGTCCGAAACGTTTTCAGGACGTAACGCGCGCGTATCGACGTGTCGCTAAACTATTCGATCGCGTAAACTTAACTGGCCGGTATTTGTGGCAAACCAAATTCATCGACCAACACGCCGTCCTGAAAGAAAGGAACGGTGAAAAATCGTATCGTATCGAATGCGATTCACGGTAAAATCAGTTCAGGGGTACGTACTTTGTTCCTAATGGTACTCGCGCCGGGTTCTTTATCGGGAGCGTTGGGTGCTTTGATGGCATCGTCCAAGTAACTGGTGTCTTCGTCTATAGCCAAATCATCGCCGAGAGCTTCGAGTTCCGCCGCTAATTCGTCCTCGTCTATATCTGGCATTCCGTAACTGCGACCCATCGCTTCCTGCACCTCGTCCGCTTGCTCCAGCATGTCCGCCAAGTCGTCTTGAAGATCCTACGCGAGCGCAAACGGACAATTACCGGCGGGATACGAATTCGGAGAGAGGATAGAGGCGAGTTCTCGGTACGTACCTCGATGTGGTCGATATTTATGTTTTTAAATTCTTTCTGCATCTGCTTAACTCCCTCCTTCATGGCGACTACGGTTGCTTGAGTATCTTTCAAAGTTTGCGTAGCATAGTTGGCTTGTTCCATGTTGAACGCCTGCTGACGCAAATTATCTACTTGCGCCTCGTACATTTTTCGCTGCTTCAAAACGCGCATCGCTTTAGCCTTTACCGCGTTTTTCGCAGGGCCTTCCCTCATTACCGACATTTGGTCTTTAAACTTTTTTAACTCCGCGTCCAATTTCGCTATCTTCTTTTCCGCCGAATCGGCTCTGCTGTCGACCTTTAAAAACCATGAATCGTTGTCAGTTGATTTGTAAGAAGGTATGCGGTTGAAACGATAACCTAACCTTTTTCGCTCGTAAGACGAAAAGACGTAATATTTACCCCGGCAATGCAGTCCGTAAGACTCGGCGGTGGTTCTCTAGGTTTCGCGCGGCCGAATAGTCTGTTCATTTCGTTGGATGCGAAAACGAGGCTGACCGATCGAATGGAAAAATTTCAATTTTTACTCGCGTTTCGTCGAAACGTCAAACGAACTGATTCACGCGTCAACCGATCTACGATGGCGACACCTATTCGAAGTAACAAGAAAGCCCAGCAGAGGGCTATGAATCGTAGCAATTGTACAATTCTATCATTTCGAGGACATTTGAATTTTTATTCGGTAATTCTCCAAGGTTAACTTGGACGAATGACGGTCGAGAAACTGACGGCGGATAAACTGCGAGCAATACGGGATGCATCGATAGAGGCCATAAGCGTTGCGATCTTTGAATCCGTTCAGAGAAGAATACATGCGCGGAAGCGCGTGTCCCGGGCGGCGTGTACGTCCGACGGGTTGCGCGTCATCGGGGGCTTTGTAATCGGTTTCCTCTGGTCGCTGGTAGATGGCCGTAACGTTTGCCGATCCACGGAGCGTGCATCGATCGATCTACGAAACACGCGATCGAATACGCAACGTGTGAAATCTATCGTTACTGTTACGCAACTGGCAAATTATCGAATCGATGAAAAAGAGACGGAGACGACTGGATATGGATAAGTCCATATCTACGATCGTTTTCTGTACCGTTCCCATTCGTTTTTGTAAAATACTCTGGTCCGATGATAGGTAAGAATCGCTCGGAAGAACGATAAGAGGACAAGAAAGGGCGAGCGGGCGGTGATGGGAAAGAGGAGACGACGGTAGATCGCTGCGTCGGAGGTAACGGTGCCGTTGGTTATCGTCGACGGCGGCGGCAGCGGCGGCGGCGGCGGCGGCGGCGGTTCGAAAAGAAATGCGCGTGCGTGATCGACGTCGGCGCGCAACGCAGCAGCGACGACGACGTCGACGAGGACGAGGACGTGAACGAGGACGAAGCGGCGGGCCGAAGATCGCCGAGTGTACGGCTACGCGAGAGTCTACGATTGGTATGGTGTGGGCCGCGGCACGGCCACAGTGTTCCAAAAGTCGGCACGACGCGCGAATCGCATTACACTCGGCGCAGAGCCACGAAGCCGCGTCGTCGAATCGGGCTCTTCTGGCCTCCGATCGGGAAGGTCTGTCGAGCGCAGCAACCGCGCTAATCGCAGCGTCAGCGGTCCGCCGTCCGCCGTCCGCCGTCCGACGACCAGCCGAAGATCGTCGACGAACCGATTCGCGCGACGCGACGAATACGCGTGATCGTGTGCTCGCAATTCCCCGGAATCGCTACCAGAAGCGTGGCACGCGAGCGAACGCGGCCGAGCTGTGCGGTGGAACCAAGACCGTCTACGTAATTAGTGCGTAAAATATGCGAGCCGCCGATAAGAGGCAAACTTAGCGCGAGCGAGGTTGTCGGGAAGGCAGCCGCGAGTGCGGAGGAACGGCTGCGAGTTTTCCGTAAAGTCGGGAGGTGCGAGGTGCGCGAGCAATCGATCGCGAGCAAATCGTGCTCCTGCCAAGGAGAGGCGTTTTTCGCGTCGAGTGTCCGAGTATTCCGGCTGGTTCGGCCAAATCGAGTATCCGAGTGCGTCGCTTCGGAAATTGGAGTACACGCGGCCAGGAACGGGTCTCGTCGCGCGAACCTTCGAAGCTATCGGCGAAGGGGTAGCGATATTTGCGCGTTCCTCGCGCGCAACGGTGTGCGTACGGTGGTTCGTGTCCGTCGTGTGCGCGCATCGTCGCGTCAGTTCGGTTTCTCGACGATCGAGCGACGAGCGACGAGCGACGAGCGTCGAGCGTCGGCCGACGAACAATCGTCGCCGATTCGAGGAAGGGTCGCGGGTGGATCGCTGTCCGATCGAACGTCCGTGTGCAGTGATGTGCGTGTAACTATGCCGCGAAAAGAGAATCGTCAGTGAACGCGCTCGATTTTCGAAGCTCGCCGACGTTCCACCGGGGAAAAGGAAAGCAATTATGTCAGCGTAGGGGAAGCGACCAAGGAGGAAGCCTCGCGCGATCTCGCATCGGCATTCGAGACGTCGGAGAATGAACGTGGCGGTCGTCGTCGATAACGACGACTGCTCGACCGCTCGACCACTCGATAGCGAACAGAATGCAAAGTCGCTGCCGAATTATCCGGGGCGACGCATCGTTGGCGTAATTTAATCGATCGGCGAACGTTGGCGAGCTGCCTCGACGATAAGGCTGAATCGAAGGGAATCGAACAGAGTAAAGGGGAATCGAAGAGAGGATAAAGGAGAATAAAAGAGTAGGAATCGTGGTGTCGGATTAGGACGAGTGGCGCGCGATCGAAGAGAATCGAAAGAAGAAGGTGGTGGTGCTGGTGCTGGTGGTGCTGGTGGAGGTGGAGGTGGTG